GGATGAAGAGGACACCTAGTTTAAACCACAGGGTTACAGATTACTCTTAGAATACTGTTTACATGAGGGGTAAGAGGGTACAGTGTGTATGGAACAGCAATTGTCAGGGCAAGAAAATATCCAATACAAAGGAATCAGTCAGACTCTGCTGCATTCCCGAACCCATGTTCTTGGTCACTGTTGGACTGTACTTCTGGTTTATTAGAGGTGAGGTGGCATGGTACTTTTCTCCATGACATAATACATTTTCTTTAGACCCACTCACAGCATACTGCCCTGGAGGAAGAGGCCAACTCAGGGTCCCTACATGAAGAGCCCTGTGCTCCTCAATAGTGTCTTACTCACTTTAGCTATTTGTGGATAAGGCCACTCACTGCTCAGGCAATGACACTCAGACACTAGTGAGTCCGTGTTCAAGTTTGGATGATTTGGGGTTTTCTAGACAGCTGCTTGGGTAGGTTAGGAAGCTCAAAGCTATTTAGTGGATGAAGCCATGGCTCAAGGAAAGCCATTTCCCTCTTTTTCTCTTCTTTTTAAATAAGAATACATTTCATAAAAATTTGAATTTAAAATAATACTTTTTTAAAATAAATAATACAAATGAGCATTGGATATACTTACTGCTACTGGGATGCCATTGCTTCTAGCTCTCTCAGCAGAAAGGGATAGGAACTACAAGTATATGTATAATAACCCATGCATACACACATATCTGTGTTTCTGTATTGTAACTACCTGTATCTGTATTAAGCCAAACATGATTTATACTGATGTCCTTGACTCTCATTCAATACCATAGGGATCATTCTAGCCTTCTCTGTTTGCTTATCTGTAACTTCTTCCTTTGTCAGTGAGAAACCTGGGTCCCACCATCTATACAGTCTTAGCAGGCTCACAGTTCCAAACTATACCCCTCTAAGAAACAACTTTAGAGTACAGTATTTATGTACAATTCTCTTTGTCTTTAGCCTTACAGTTTCTAATCAAAACAACTTTTTCCAATTTTTTTCAGAGTTCTTTGGTAAGCTTCATTTTCTTCTCCCATTTCCTTTAAGACATCTCCCCCTTTAAAATTATTTTCTCCCCATTAAACTTAGGAAAACTACTGGGTGCTGGTTTGGCAGTGAACCTTGGACCATGAAGTTTCTCTCAAGCTAGTGTAGACCTACAGGAGCATTTCACCAGATGTGGTAAACAGATGAGTCTTCTAGATGGTTCTTATAAAATTATAAAATCAGAATTGTTCATATATATTTATAATTACAAGTCATTCTTTCTTATTCTGGAAAAGATGGAAATTGTTATATGATAGCAAAGTTTAAGGAGTTAAATTCGCTAAGGAGAGCTATTATATCCATATTTTAATAACATGCATATCATATTATATAAGCACTTCTTTCCTGCAGTTAAAAACAATTTTTAATATCCAGAATATGAGTTTTGAGAAAAAAATCTCAGTCAACCCTGCTCTGAAAAACATGTAGTTTTCCTTGAGAGATTCATGGATTTAGAAATATGAGATGTGTTTGAAGACACAGAAATTGAAGTGAAAATAATCACCTCTCCCATTTCTGCCTTACATTTTGGTGGTTGTACACTGAGATTTTGCCCTTTGCTTAAACCCTTCTCCCAGCACACTTCAACCTTCCTTTTCCTAGACACTTCTGCTTTGAACTTTTCAAGAACTCAACAAATTCTTTTCATGTAGCCAAAGAGTAGACCTAAGCCAGCCTTCAAAATCAACAGTTTATTCTTAATTTCAGAGAAGTTTCTTCTACTTGACAATACTCTTTTTAAATTATATTTTATTGATTATACTATTATAACTGTCCCAGTTTTTCCCCTTTGTTCCTCTCCACCCAGTACCCCCCACTTCCTCAAGCAATCCCCACACCATTGTTCATGTATACGGGTCATGGAATAAGTTCTTTGGTTACTCTATTTCCCATACTGAATTTTACATCCCCATAGCTATTCTGTAACTACCTGTTTGTACTCTTATTCACCTCACCTCCAACCCGTTCTCCTAAAATCCCCACCCATCTGGCAACCATCAAAAAGCTCACTGTGTCCATGATTCTGTCTCTGTTCTTGTTTGCTTAGTTTGTTTTTTCTATTCAATTGTTGATTTACTGCCATTTTATTGTTCATAGTTTTGATCTTCCTGTTTTTCTTAAATAAGTCCCTTTAACATTTCATATAATAATGGTTTGGTGATGATGAACTCCTTTAGTTTTTCTTTTCTGGAAAATTCTTTATCTGCCTTTCGATTCTAAATGATAAGCTTTGCTGAGTAGAGCAATCTTGGCTGTAGATAACTGCTTTTCATCACTTTGAATATTCTTGCCAATCCTTTTCAGCCTGCAAACTTTCTTTTGAGAAATCAGCTGAGAGTCTTATGGAAACTCCCCTATATGTAACTAACTGATTTTCTCTTGCTTTTAAAATTCTCTCTTTATCTTTAAACTTTGGCATTTCTTTTTTTTGTATTTTATATATTTTTTATTTTTTAAAACATTTTTTATTGTTGTTCAAGTACAGTTTTCTGCCTTTCCCCCACACCCCTAAACTTTGGCATTTCAATTATGATGTGTTTTGGAGTAGACCTTCTTGCATCCATCTTGTTTGGGACTTTCTGTGCTTCTTGGACTTGTATGTTTATTTCCTTCACCGAATTAGGGAAATTTTCTTTCAATATTTTTCAAACAGATTTCCAATTTCTTACTCTTTCTCTTATTCGTTTGACACCCCTATGATGCAAATTTTGGAATGCTTAAGATTTTCCCAGATGCTGCTTACACTCTCCTCATTTTTTTGGATTCTTTGTTCTTCTTGTTCTGATCAGTTGTTTTTGCTTCCTTATGTTTCAAATCATTTATTTGATTCTCAGCTTCATCTATTCTTTTTCTGTTTCCCTGTAAATTGTTCTGAATTTCAAATAGTCTATCTTTTGTTTCTGACTGGATCTTTTTTATGCTGTCATGGTCCTCACTAAGTTCCATGAGCACCCTTATAACCAGTGTTTTGAATTCTGCACCTGATAGATTGCTTATCCCCATTTTGTTTAGTTCTTTTTCTGGAGTTTTGATCTGTTCTTTCATTTGGGTCATGTTTCTTTGTCTCCTCATTTTGGCAGCATCCCTATGTTTGTTTTGTATTGGGTAGAACTGCTATGACCCCCTGTCTTGGTAGTATGATCTACTATAGTACATGTCCTGTAGGGTTTCTGATGTTTTTGAGTGATGGTTGTTCTATATTTTAGTTGTACTTTTGATGTGGTTGTGCAAAGAGGTGAGACCTATGACCCCATCTTGACCAGAAGTCTGCAATAAACACCCTTTTAGTGGATTAATCATGAATCATTTTATGGTTTGCTCTACATCTCAAATGTTAGTAGTGCTCTTCCAGCCTCCAAAGCCCTTGATGGAGCATTAGTTAAGTCCTAAGTGTCTTGCCTGCCTCAGGAGTGGAGTTCATGCCCAAGGGCAGCTCAGTGCCTTCTACGCTACTTTGTTGCCCAGAGAATGTTTGTACTTTGGTGTATTTAACAGCAAATTCCATTTACCCACCACGGGAAATACCACAAGAGGGACTTTTTGCCAGAGGCTGAAATCCTTTCCCTTCTCTTGCTTCAAAGCCATCACTTTACATCGAGAGTGTTTTAATGGAGAATAGCTAATACAATCTTTTGCTTCAGATTTTTTTAAATTCCAAGTTAAACAGTATTTGGGCCATATATAGCCATTCTGCCTGGTGGACTGACTGTCCTAGATACTTCCCCTCCCTCAGCCAAGTTCCCTCAGAGGGATGACACTCTCACAGCATTGTCAGGGCTGAGCTAATGCAGTGCCAGGCTTAATGTAGGATACTTAGTCCATCTCTCATCTCGTCTGGAGTGTGTGTGTATGTATCTGGCTTCATGTCAGCAGGAGAGCTAAAAAGAAGCTGAAGAAACAGCCTGGATTAGCAGGGCACTTGGGTGTTTGTGGTATAAGCAGGGACACACTGTTAATTTGTTAATTTGAGTAGGTTATATCTGCACAAGGCAGCATGTCCAGAAAAGTATGTGGTGGTAGGACAGGGTGGCAGGGTCTGCTCTTTTACATCCTAGTGTGGGACTGTGTATGAGTCTCCTAAAGCTGCTTAGCAAACTACTGCCCAATGAGTAGCTTAAAACAACAAAAATGTATTCTCTCACAGTCCTGAAGCCTCCAAGTCTGAAATCAAGATGTGGGCTGGGTTCTGGGGATCAGGGGGAGAATCTGTTCCAGGATTGATTCTCTCATAGCTCCTGATGGTTGCCAGCAATCTTTGGCATTCCTTAGTTTGTGTTAACTTCAATCTCTGCCTCAGTCCTCACATGTTCTCGCTGTATGTGTTTCTTCTCTTCCTAGAAAAACACTAATTATATTGGATTTAGGGTCTACTCTAATCCAGTATGACATCATTTTAACTAACTACATTTCCAAAATGACTATTTTCAAATTAGGTCACATTCTGCAGTTCCTGTTAAATATAAATTTTGGAGAGACATTACTCAACCCAGTATAGGCTGCATTAATCTGGAGGATAAAGCACCTTTTACAAATTTGCCATTGCTTCTGTCTGCTTGCCAAGGTGTATCCTGTACTTTTCCCTGATTTGTACAAAAGCACAATACAGACTAACAGGGGCCCTGGTTATCATCTATGCAAGCTATCAGCTATGCAGGATCCATCAGTTTGCAAGCTCCCGAACCAGAGACTCTGTCTAATGCCTTCTGGGGAACAGCCATAGCTTGGCTGGGGATACTGAGTTCTCAAAAATGTTTGTTGCAGTGACAGTAAAGAAGCCTGAAAAGAAACTTCCACTTCCTGCCATTACACCAAACTTAAAAAAGAAAAAAACTAACCACAGGTAAGTAGTCCTTAACAAGTTTCATCCCATATTTTTCTGCTTCTCTGGTGGTTTGGAAAAATCTCTTGGGTTCTCATGGGTTAAGTAAAGTAGATTCTATTTCATCATGGAGTCATGCAGTGCTTCTCAAAGTGTACTTCATGGAATATTGGCCCCATAAAAACTGTTTTAGGAGCAAAGGGCTTTGTGGTCAAATAAGAAAATTACCCATTTGCTCTTCTCTTCTTGGAGATTAGCAATACACACTGGCTTTGCAAAGGTTCTGAAAACTCCTATGTAGCAAAACCTATTAAACTTTATTTAATCCAGTGTACCTCAAATTAATTTCACCACAGAGTCACCACTCTCCCTTTTTTGGGTAAATGAATAGAACCTATTACAATCCAGGGAACTAGTTAATATCTAAGCAGTAAACTCTGAGCTCCACTGGTGTATGGTCTAGAATACAAGTGTTGGAATCAGGCTCAAATTCAAAACTTAAATTCATTGACTTCAGACAAGTAATGAACCTCTCTCTGCAATATGACATTATGATGCCACTTGCTTAATAGGATTACCTGAAATAATGTAGATAAAGTGCTTAGCACAGGGCCTGGAGTATAATAACCACTGAATACATTTAAGCATTTATTATTATACTATTATTTTTACTTCTATTGTACATCCCTATGACTTTTGCAAAGTTGACGAAGTTTTTGAAACTGTTGTCCTTTTATGAAAACCTACTTTGGTAAGGAAGTTGAGGGCATTTTTTCTCAGCTTCTCAGAACTCTGGAGATTGACATTCATCAAATCCAGTCCTTCTGAAACCTGGAGAGCTCTCATTCATCTGTTAATCAGTTGTAATTTCTTAGGACAGTCATAAGCCAGTTATGTTCACCTGAAAGAAAATTAAACCCAAAGTGGCAAATGAAGTTCTACAGTCCAGAAGGCATTTCCTAGTTACTGGCTTACCTTTGGGAATGTGGGGTTAGGCAGAAGAGAGACAGTGTGGATCAGGTCAGAGAAGTTACCTGAAAATTCATAGGTTCTGGAAATACTGACCTGTCCTTTCCGGATGCAGGTACCACAGTAGACATCACAGAGCCCACTGACAACTTGGCTAAGGCAAAGCACAGCTTCTATAATGCCGATCCCTAGGAGGATGGAGAACAAGACCACATTCCACAGGACGATGTGTTCAGGCTCTTGGCAAGTTTCCCAGGTAGGCTGGTTGAATAAGTAGTTGTCCCTGCCAGGACAGAAGAAAAAATGAATCTGGATTTAAGTGACAGTAAATGGAGGGGGCTGATATTTACAAGTGTGTGATAGGCACTAATCTAACACAGGAGATTACAATGCTTTATGGTCTTCTTTGCTCTCATCTTCCTAAAGACAGCAGCTTTATTATTGTCCATTGGTGGAGAGATTGAACACATTGTCTTTCCCTCTGATAGCACAATATCTCAACAAGGCATTGTGGAAACAGACATAGCCACACAAGAGAGCATGTGAAGAAGTGGAAAATTCTAGGCTATAAGATTTTAATTGCTGCTATAAGGGTCTCAGAGGCAGTAGGAGTGGTTAAAAACTTGGGCACAAAAGTACCACAGACCCAGGACCTAACTCCAGTTTCCTCACTAAAAAGTTCTGCATAACTTTCCTGAATGATTCTGTACATCAGATTCTGTATATGTAAGATGGGTTGGGGCCCTGGGTGGGTATCACAGTTGGTTATAGCATCATCCTTATGCATCAAAGATGGGGGTTTGAATTCTAGTGGGAGCCCATACAAGAAGCAACCAATAAATGCATAAAGTGGGACAACAGACATTCCTAAGATGGTAGTGAGATAGGTGGGAGTGCAGTCCACTTCCCCGTTCACACAGGTGGAACACCTAGCTGATCTTTTGAGAAACAGAGTGAACAGCCAACAATATCCTAGCAAATATGAAGATTGGAGACCAAAAATTGTAGAAGACATTGAAAAATCAGACGGTAAGGAGATTGCTTTGGGACAATAAGCTCCCAGGGACCAGGGCAGCTGCAGCTCCAGGCCTGGAGCCCACCAAGTCTGCCACAGGATTCTTGGGACAGAGCTGGGTCAATGGCTCCCTCCCCTCTAAATAAGGTTTGAGCAGCACTGGGAGGGACCTGGGTGCTTGAAGTCGCTGGGGGGAATAAAGACAAAGGGGCAAATGCACAGAGCCAGTGTACCCACTGAGACTGTGGACACCAGCTCAGTCATTACCAGAGAAATTGGGGAGCCAAATAATGCCTGGAGAAGGGAGAAGAATTGGGCCATGATGGACCCTGACCAAGATAGTCTCCAGTCTGGTTGGAAAGTTGGGCTGTGAGAGAGGCTGGACACTTGTTAGGAGTGGCAGGCTTGAACAGGAAGAATTTGTTAAAAAAAAAAAACAGGCTCTTGGTGGCTATTCAGAGAATTCTCCCACAGGGGCAGCCCCCACCTTGCTGGCTGTGCCCCCACAGCCACCAGAGCCTCAGCAGCTGGCCCACCCCTGCCATGACGACCCCAGCCAGGCTCCTACCCTCCCATCAGCTGCAGCAGCAGAAGGCACCCACCTCCACCATTGGCCCCCACACCATGCCCAACACCGCAGCTGCCACCCAAGTGGTGCATGCCCAACCCCACCACAGCAGCAGTGGAGGTCAGCAGCAGTGGAAGCCATGGACCCACACCCACCCCTGCCACTCCTTGGCTGCACCCCCACCCCTTCACAGAAGTGAAGGCCATGAGCCCACAGCCGCTACCCCAGCCAAGGCAGTGCCACTGCCCTGCCAGGAGGACTGGCTCACTAAAAGGAAGGAAGAGGCACCCCCTGCCCCAACAGAAGAGAGCTGCAGGACTCAGGGAGCCAGCAGTCCCCAGAAAGACTTAACTCAGTAGGGGAGCCGAACTACCCTGAAGAGACTTTGAGAGTGCCTAGCACCTAAAACAGCAAAGAGTGAGAAGGTGGTATGTGAGTTGCCCCTAGTTGATGCACCTCAAGGACAGCACAACTGGTGGACTGAAGGTGTAGGCCTGATGCAGAAGGGAACTGGGAACCAATCAGTAAACTGAGGAACTGGGCTGGAGGCTGGGCAACTGTGAAGAGTATGGCCCAGACCTGGCCCTCATCCCTGCAAAACCACAGGAAGGGAGAAAAGCAAAACCAAACCCCTCAGCCTGTTGCAGCCAGGAAGACCAGCAGAACTCACTTGGCTGGTTTAAAGCCAGCAGGAGGATTTTTCTTTCTTTCTTTCTGGAACACCCCCCACCCCCTGCCCACAAGTGAGACAATAAGACCTGGAGCTGTGAAAGGACCAAAGTGAGACCCAAAGAGGGATCATCCCAACAACTGAGAAACTGAGACAAATTTCACTTTGCTATTCCAGAGAATTTGCAAGTTACTGTTTGTTTGTGTTGTTATTATTTTCATTATTTTTACTTCTTTTATTTTATTAGTATTTTTTTATTTCTCTTATTTCTGTTTAGTAGTCTTAATTTTACTAGTTTGTTTGATTGCATTGTTTGACTGGTTTTTCTTGTTCTTTCTTTCATAGCATATTTTTAATTTTCCTTCTTTCACTTTACTTGTGTTCTCATAGAACACTATTCTAGGTCATGTACTTCCTATTCTTGGTATTCAGATCACAGAGATTCTGTCATATGATTGTTGTTCCAGTATTATTGTAAATAATTATTCCGTACAATTGCAAATACTATACAGCACCTCACCTGGATCTTAGCTCATTTCACTGTCTTCTGGAACTTTATTACTACTGTGGTTAACTCTCTTCTCTCTCACACTACACCTATTTTCTATCCTTTACTCTCACTATATCTCATAATCTCACCTCCCACAAGCACTCTGTTTTCTGGATTCAACTCAAAATTTTTCCCCCCTCTAAGAAGAGTCCTACCTCTTTTCCACCCTCTGTAAAAACTGGCTAGTTGGGTGAAATATGGTTAACACTATATTTATCCAAAGGATCTCCTATCTCTTCTCTATGTGTTTGTACTTTAAATCTCATAGAATACAATCCCACAGTCTTAATCCATTTTGTCTCCCCCTTCCAACTGGTCATATTAAAGAGTAGGTGGGAACTGTGAACACCAATATACCTGCTGGAAGAGAGAACCCACCAACAAAGGAACCACCAACAGATAATAAAGGAAGATGATGGAGGAGTGAGTGGAAGCCATACTAATCTCCACCCAAGACCAATCTGGAATTACAACTAAGTGGTGGAGAAAGAACCCAGAACAAACAAAACAATGGAATAATAGCGAAAGAGAAGCCTCATAGCCTTGGACCAACAGAAGAACCAGCTTCAACACAACCTGTCTACACCTGTACAACAGAATACAAGATGTGGTGTGCAGAATGACCCTCAGTCAATGAGCTGAAGGAGAAGGACCCACCAAAGAAAGATCCAACAACAATCAAAACCCAAATACATCCAGAGAGTCAACATAAATGACATCCCAAGAGCAGCAAGTTCAGGCAATCAAGGAGACTGCACCACTGAATATCACAAGTCTCCTACCATAGAAGTTCACACCACAAACCCAGAGTCAGAACAGATCAATTTAAGAAGCAGAGGCTAACAAGAAGAGTCTCACAAGCAACGGAAAGACAAAGAAACAAACCCCAAATGAAAAGAAAGGAAGAATCCTTAGAAAGAATGCTAAATGAAATAGAGGCAACTCAACTATCAGATATTGAGTTCAAAGCAATAGTTATAAGGAAGATTAATGTGCTCTCTGATAATTACCAAAAACTATAGGAAATCTACAATAAACTCACTGCAAACTATATCAACATGAAAAAGGAAATAGAAACTATCAACAAGGGCCAAGAGGAAATGAAGAATACAATTTCTGAACTGAAGAACACAGTAATAGGAATCAAAAGCAGGATCAATGAAGCAGAGGATCAAATCAGTGAGCTGGAAGACAAGCTAGAAAAAACTCCCATAAAGAGCAAGAAAAGGAAAAGAGACTCAGAAATAACAAAGAAGTGTTAAGAGAACTGTAGGACAACATGAAGTGCAATAATACCCATACAATAGGGATACCAGAAGGAGAAGAAGAAGAGCAAGGGATGGAAAAACTGTTTGAAAAAGTAATGATGGAAAACTTCCCTAATTTGATGAGAGAAATAGTTACAGAAACCCAGGAAACACAGAGAGTCCCAATCAGGAGGAACCCAAAGAGGATCAAGACACATCACAATTGAAATGGCAAAATTCCAAGACAAAGAGAGAATCTTGGAGGCAGCAAGGGAGAAACAGAAAGTAACATACAAGGGAGCCCGCATAAGACCAGCAGCTGACTTCTCAATGGAAATGCTACAAGCCAGAAGAGATTGGCAAGAAACATTCCAAGTAATGGAAAACAAAGGCCTGCAATGAAGACTACTCTATCCAGCAAGGCTCTCAATTAAAATGGAAGGCCAAATAAGGAGTTTTCCAGACAAAAGAAGGCAAGGAATATACCTCCTCCAAACCAGCTCTGCAAGAGATGCTAAAGGGACTGCTTTAAGAAAGGGAAAAAAGAGAAAGAGAGAGAGGAATGCAGGTATGAAGGAAGTAAAATGGCAATGAATAAGTACCTATCAATAATAACCTTAAACATAAATGGGTTAAATGCATCAATCAAAAGACATAGAATAGCTGAATGAATAAGAAATCATGACTCACACACATGCTGTCTATAAGAAACCCACCTTGGGAAGAAGACCTACACAGACTGAAAGTGAAGAGATGGAAACAAATATTCCAAACAAATGGACAGGAAAAAAAGGCCGGGGTAGCAATAGTCATATCAGACAAAATAGACTTCAAAAAAAGACCCAGAAGGTCACTTCATAATACTCAAGGGAAGAATCCATCACGAAGACATAAACATTACAAATATATATTGCACCCAACATAGCAGCACCAAAATACATAAAGACAATCTTGAAGGACTTGAAGAAAGATATCAACAGCAATACAATTATTGTGGGGGATTTCAACATCCCACTGTCAAAAATGGATAGATCTTCCAAAGAAAATATCAACAAAGATATTGTGGCATTGTACAATGTCCTAGATGAAATGGACTTAATGATAATATAGAGAGTCTTTCATCCCAAAGAAGCAAAATATACATTCTTTTCGAATGTACATGGAACATTTTCAAAGATAGACCACATGATAGGACACAAAACAAACCTCAACACATTCAAGAAACTTGAAATT